GTGTGTTTGTGCGCGAGGGCGCACGTGTGTGTGTGTGTGAATGAGTGTTTCTAAATAGGAACGTACCTGTATGTATGGGGTTGGGTTATTGGTGTTTGGGGGCGGGGGGGTATATGGGATTTTTTGTGCTTTGTTTACTGGGAGTATTTCTGTTGGTCACAATAATTCTGCCATTACTGTTTCTTACTCATAAATCAAGCTGGGTGTTTGCATAAAGACTCCCAAACCACAAGCAAGTCCGCTTGCAAAGCCCTGTAAAAGGTCAAATTATCCTTTGTGTATAGTCATAAATAGTGTGGTCCTTGTCAATGTACTTTTCCTACTAATCTTTGATTTATTAGGTCTCTGTACCTATTTCGACGTCAATTTTCCTCCAACTCTGACTGCGGTACGGAAGACAATAATAATTATCACAGTTAAAACGGTTAAAAAACTAGAACCGGAGCCGAAACTGGGAAAAGATGTAGTGTGTAGAAGAACTATTAAAGTTGAATAACTGTCTACGGAAGAGATAATGGGGCTTTCTTATTAGCTTTTTACAGTCTGTCCAAACCAAATCAAACAGTTTTTAATCTTTATGTGTTCCAGACACTTGACCCATTTTTTTTCTTGAACATTTCCACTAATGACTATTGTTCGAGGTACATAATAATAATAATATGAGTCGTCTTTTTTCCCAGTGTTGGAACAAGTTTGTTGTCGCATAATTTGTCTGTAGTTAAAATCTTTTTTTTTGTTGCCATTCTTGTCTTTCTTGATCAATGTATGCGATATAAATAGCCGCTTGATAACTTCATTGTTACCTGTGTTTGTATCCCGCAAGTTATGGTGTGGGTGATTCTTCTTCGAATCCTCAATTGAACGTTCTTAAACTTGTCTGGGTTATATCACAGATGTCCCATATCACTACATCTCCCCCCTTTTAGTTTCCAAAATGACGTTAAATTAAAATTTGCAAGGGAACAATGTCTTATTCACATGTGGGCTAAAATGTAGTTTTTACTTCTTGTGACGGTTTATACTTTAAATCCACCCTGGCTGAAGCGGTTTTTTTAGGCAACTGAAGTGTTGGAAAATAAGGTCCTTCCAGTAAAAATAGCTTGTAATTAATCCACCAGAAAAAACAACAACCTATAACTGTTGCTAGTCTACACAGCAACTTAAATCAGGTGAGATCAGCCTACACATTCAGGGT